TGCTTTCCCAACATCAAATACCAAATTCGCTTTAAACACGTACACATTTTTAACACTCTCGCTTTTTTACTCAGCAAAGTGCCGATAAATGGTGCTATCATACAGGCTAATAAGCATTGATTAACACAATCCTAATCGGTGTTTAACCACATGTCAAGTTATCACGCTTTGTAGGGGTTCCGGCGCAGCTATATGTATTGTAAGTTAATTTTTGTTATGTTTTTATTCAGCGGAAATTTATATAGTTCATTCCCAATTAACTTGTGTCACATGCAATGCTACCCATAGTAGAATTCTTACTACGTTTTCTTTAAAAATTAACTAGACTAGCTAATTCAGGAAAACTAGCTGTCGGAGAAATTGTGCCCGGGTGCACCGTCCTGTTGAAACCAACATTATTTTTGTTTTTTTTGTGTGCTGTTATCGTTGTATTCGTAATAAAAAATGCTACTCAATGCAGTGTGTACTTTCTTTACGACCCATATAAAAAATAAAGTTGATGATTTCTCCGGAACGAACCGTTGTATTGAAAATCTGTTAATTGTGTCTTGTAGAACTCAAAAAGTGGCAATGAGAAGTGTTTTTATTGTGTTTTTTATTTTTATTATTTTTCTGTATCTACTCATATACCTAACATCAGAAAAAATAAACACGAAATCTGAAAATTTCGGATTTTCTAGCATATCTTAGGAAATAACCGGAATTTTCTGGTTTTATTTCAAGCATGATACTAACTGTAAAATTACACAACTTTTCTTAAGTTTCGAAGTTGTTGTAAGCGCACTTCTTACTAAACATATTTCTTCAACATGGTTTAAAAAATATCCATTCTCTCTAGGTACTTATAGTAGTACGGTACAGTACTTAGTGTAAATATTGCCCCTTATAGAAATATACGTTTTATTCCGCCTTTACAGTGACGATTTCTGTCGTCTATCCATTAAAAAATTAGTTAAATAGTTAAATTAAGTAGTAAAGTACGTGGAATTAAAGAACAAAAATGGTCTGATAGGCATAGAAAGTTAAGTGTAAGTACGAAATAATAAATAAATGGACTTAAAAAATAATAAATGGATTATGATTAGTTGCCCAATATAGCCCTCTTTTGTGTAAAGTGTCTCTCAATCCTACGTTTTTAGCGCATTTTCCAAAAGGAAATTGAACGCTATTTTCCGCACTTTGTCCGTCTGTCCGTCTGTACCAAATAGTCCTAGTCCTCCAGTTTAAGCTTTTTCGTTGTGGTTTCTTTCTTATACAGTGTACCACAGTCCCGAGGCCAAAGCGACAAAATATTTTCTTGGATTAGTCACTTCTTTCCCCAGTTACAATTGTTTCTGTGCGATTTTCGTCGATTGCGAGTGACTACGTTTTTTACTTGATTTTACTAGGTTGATAAAGGAAAAGTGTGTACCTTTTTTGTAACAGTTTAGAGCTTTAATAGTGTTGTGGTTCTAACATGATTGGGTGAGTATTAATATATCTTCTTGTTTTTTGAACGCCTTCACACCGTCGCGTCTTTCCTGAAAGTCTGATCGATTCGCCTCTTTTCTCCTCTAAATTATATAAGACTTTTCCGTCGCCACATTCGAAAATTCTTCGAAAAACACCAACATCTTTCATATTCTTAATTAAATCTTATTATTCTTTTGTACAAATACATCTGTAATGAAATGAGATTTCATTCATAACGACGTTAAAAACTTCCTTCCGGCGCAACTTGAAAACATTTATTTCTTAATTTGTTGTTAATTAATTTGCATTAAACAAAAATTTTCTTTGTGATTCATTCGTAATGAGAGCTTTTGAATTTTTACGTGTAATCATTTGAGCTAAATTAACTTTCAACAGACGTTCCGTAATTTGGTAAAGCGGAAGTTTAAATGAGAGACAGACTTGAAATGAACTCTGAAGAAGTTGAATTACGACCCGATTGTGAGTTTTTTGCTTTCAAGCGAGTCAATTTTGTGCGAAACAAATAAAGATAGCGAATTAACTCTCAAAGAATTTAATTCGCAATAAACTGCGAATTGCTGTGAGATATAGGTAACAAATCACGTCTGTAAAGTATATTGTTTGGAGAGTCGAAACTACATATACATATAGAGTAGATTATGCTAGCTACCTACTTCCTAATAAGTTTGCGTGTTTCAATTCGCAATTTTACTAGTTCTGATTACTTGGGCTTTAAACTTTTGTCGGTGTTCAGGTGGTATTGTTTTTTTGCTAGGTATATACTTAAGTAAAAGTGAAAAATATTCGAAATTATTATCCGTATATGAATCATGTTACGTATTTTTTGTCGGAATGCGCATCCAATTGTCACTTGTTGTATTGAATTATTATTGTTGTGTGAATACTGTATAAGCTCAATTTAATAGAAAAATGCATAATTTTACTCAAAGTTGATATGTAGGAAATGTATATTTTAGCAAGGAAAAAATACCTTTGCCTTGGTTAGCATGTATCAAGAGAAATATCCTGAAGATATTTTCGAAGATTAAAAGCCAGGGTACGTGCTAATACAACCGCGTTTATTGGAAAATCGAGAACAACAATAAGTAATGTAATTGAAATAGAGATTTTGGCCTATTTCCAAGTGGCCCTATTAGATTGGCTGCTACCGAGTAGAATTGTAGTGGAGGAAGTGTACATACAAATTTAAAAAAGAAAGTTAGAAACAGCCTTAAATTGATCTAAAACTCGACAGCAGAACCTGACGACATCCCTGGCATCTTCCTTAAAAATCTCCCACCCAATCTACAAAAACAATTACTCGAACGCTTATGCGAAGTGTTTAATTGGACCATGTTATAGTCAATTTTTATTGTTGGTATCTTATGATTAATTCAATTTGTGTGTTAAAAGTAAATTTTGTTTGTGTGAATTCATGTAAGTCGTGTGTTTACTCGAACCCTTTAATGATACAGATAAATGTCTCATGCTCAATTATGATTCATTTTGCTGATCAGTACCCAAAGTTTGTTTCTGATATCTACAAAATTTGTGTAAATAATCCTTTTGGAATTTAAAGAATTTGATCGCGGCTATGCCTTAGAATTTAGATTGTGAAGTCGAGATTAAAATTTTTCATTGTCCTGGGATTCGGATGTGTCCTAGGAGCTAGCTTGGTTTAAGGTATTACAAAAAATGTAGGAGTTTTGTCTTCTCTAACTTTCACTTTTTTCGTAAGATAAACCGCTGCGAGGTTATTTTGAAAAAAACGTTTTTTCTACCTTTGATCCAAGATGACGGCGTGAGCGGTCTTCCCCCAAGATCGAAAACATGATTTTTGTTTCAAGGCCACAACAAGATATTAAAAAATTACTACTACACCACCTTTTGTAGAGCAAATGCCTTGTTTATCTCATACTGACTGGAATATTAAGACTATCTTAGATATGCTTTACATATAAAACACTCAAAAATCTTATAAATATAAAGAATTTGTATCGGAAGGGTTGTAATTTTCCGAACAAAGAGACCATTAACTTGTATACGCAAAGGAAACTATTCAGCGTAGTATGCTAAGCGTAAAAATCAAACAAAATATGTATCTAAATGAAGGGGTAAAAACCGCGAACGATTCAGGAAAGAGTGGACAAAAAAATGTAAACCATAAGGAATAAAGCTATAAGAGCTATCGTTGTTCTACAAGAATTGATCAAACTAACAAGGTAACCAATAAAAGTGTGTTGCTACAAAGAAGATTCAACCAGGAATCATTCACACTTGTTTCTAAATATTTTTAGCTTCCTAGCATGTGCTAGGTAGCTATTGCGATAGCCGTTTTTTGAACATTTCAAAATTTCATCAAATGTCGACGTTTTAGACCATTTTAAGCAACTTTTAAAGAATAAAATTTTTTTCCGTCTGTATGTTACGTTTGTTGGCAATTTTCTGAGAAAACGGCTCGACGGATTTTGTTGAAATTTTGTATATATGTTTTAGGCATACCGAACAGAAAAATAACGGGCCGGATTTTTGAAAAAAAATTTTGGAGCGCCGTAACGGCATCGAACTTTTTTTTTCAAATAGCAACCTAAAATTTTTATTCTATTATTTGGAAGACCTTATTTTCCTGTGTACAACCTACAAAAAATTTGGCCGGGTTATATTATCAAAAAACGGAGAAAAAAATTGTCAAAGTCAAAAAATTGTGTTGCATATGTGCAAAACCCAACGATCTTGTTTCTGAAGCAATTTAAACGAAATTTCTATGGTAAGTCCCTTTAATAAAAGCAAACAACATTCATGCGCAAAAATCGTGTTCCGCATGCGCAGAAATGCAATTTTCTTATTTATGGAACAATTAAAACGAAATTTGGATGGTAGGTCCTCCTAATAAAAGAAAACAAAATGCATGCGCAAAAAATCGAGTTGCGCATGTGCAAGATCCAACTTTCTTATTTATGGAGCAATTTTAACGAAAATTGGATGGTAGGCCCCTCTAATAAAAGCAGTGCGTACAGATGTTGGCAATTTTTGGTTTCAGCTAGGAAGCTATTCTGTCAAGAATTTGACACCTGGTTTATTTAATTGTTGCAAAGGCCAAGGTCGTAGTCATACGAATAAATAGCGGAGCCGCATTTTACCATTTATTTGTTTTTTGTATAACCATCGCTTTCTATTAAGACAACTCAACATATTTCATGCACCTAAATTTTATGTTGTAGAAACACTTTAAACATTCATATCCAATCAAATTAAATTTATTTTAGTGTGAACGAATGTGTCCTCCAGTTATCTATTTTAGCTATTGCCTCTTCCCCATTTACTAACTTGTAATTCTCGTTGGGCGGGCCTTTAAGAAAATGAGAACCATTTCGTTAAGCAATACATAAATATTGATTTGTTTAGCTTCCCATGTATCGTCATTTTTAAAACTTTGGTTATAGGAAACATGTGAGCGACCTCTACAATAAAAAAATACGGAGCTAATAAAAAGAGATTGCGGCAGGTAAATATAATAGCAGTTCATAAATACTGTGAAAATATCTTACCAAGTTTGTGCTTGTGAGCAGGAGCCGACGTTGACGGCGCCGGGGATGGAACTTGGCGTGCCGACACTGGAGGGCATGCATCTTCGCAACAGCTGATACCGCCCACTGCTCCCCATAACCATTTTTTGTTGATATAAAGCAAGAAAACTAGAAGGAGAGCTCCAAAACCAGCGACGACGCCTAATAGCGTTCCACCTGTCGCACCTGTAAATTAAAAGCCGCTGCTTCAGTATTCAGTGACATACAAACAAAAATACATTTCAGACACGATCAAATATATGTATGATTTCATTTAAGTGACAGTTCAGTTTTAATTTATGGGCGTTTTATTTACTTTTTTTAAAGGTTGATGCAATTTATTAGCGATAAGAATGCATTTTAATGGGCAAAGACTGTGTTTTTTTCGTAGAAAAATGATACTTGAGATATGAGAATTCCGCGTCAAAATTTGGATATGTTAAGGAGGAACAAGGGACCTAGGAACGTAGGCGGGATTGGCTGTTGTTGTTGCTAGTGTCCATTAATTGGATGAAGATGAACATGTTGTGAATATTTCAATAAAATCCCTGGCCGGCTAATGGGTGTTTCCATTCTTTATTCAATGCAGTATATATGTAACCCCATAGTTTGAGATCAAAACCCATTCCATTTCTTTTCATAAATGTTTTACATCGACACTAGAACTAGAAATTGCACTCACTTCCTCAACAATCAAAAGAATTAGGAGCGAATATAGACGACGGATACTACAGAGACGCTTTTATAGGTGGATTTCTAAGGGAAAATCCATTAACCCTAATTCGTTTTATTACAGCACTATAATAACGGACATTAATTTTTAGTAAACAAACCAATTTTTCTAATTGCCTCAGCAGTTGTATAAATATGTATGTTATGGTCGGTTCAGTAGTTTCAGGAGGTTCATAAATTTGGAAAAGGAAATTTGTAAATCGACTAAAGGAGACTACGGCAATTATTCTTAGTTAATTATTAATTACAAACGTTAAGGTAAATCGAAACTGGGGTAGCTGTAAGATTGTACGTGAAACCGAATCACAGTTTCATTTCATCTCAGTCAGCCCTACATGAATTTTAATTATTTAAAATCCCTAGCTCCAAGCAGAATTTTTAATGAATTCATAACATGAAGCGACATTATGTACTTAGGAAACAAGAAAAGTTTCCCCATTAAAAATGACTAAAGGTTGAATTATTTCTACAAAAAGATTGCATTTATGAATCAATGCTGGTAGGTATAACACTAACGTCATTCTTGCAATTTTAATGAATGAAACCTTTCTGAAAGAATGAATGTTGTTCTGATATTTCTGAAAAAACTTATGTTTAAAGGAAGTTTAAGGTAACATAAAAAATGTGACTTTGGTCAAATAAAAATTATCAAAGTTTCTATTGACGATTTTTCACTGGATGCGCGTGACAATTCTAGCGAATGCAAAAGTAATTTTCAACATAGAAATAAGGAATCCAAAACTAAGAAAAAGTTATGCATATTTTATTGCCTCAATCACGTAAATGTACATGTTTTGCAAATGTAACGGTGGCTCTAAATTTGGATTTATTTTTTCGTATTTTTTAACAGTTTAGGTGTTACATATCAGAGAAAGTCTACAGGGTGTCAAAATTAGAAGGTCATATTTTCCAAACGACTGATGGTGATTAGCGATCTTTTATCTGTTCTCTGGAGTACTGTTTTCATAATGGTTTCCGGAAGTGTCTGTCTAATTAAGACTACAGAAGAGAACCACGTTCGGTTGCCGCAAAAAGTTTCTTTCTTAGTAACATATTTCTAATAAAAAAAAGAAAGGGCTTTTAAACTGAATTTGCGTGTTTAATTGTGGAAATAGATAAAGACAACTGTGTCGTATTTTTCATCACAAAGGATTAGTCCTCCGGTGCGAATGCTACAAAAATTGAACTTCCTAGTTAGAATTCGTAACAAAAACAAACTGATTTTAAGTATACACGTGTTGAAAAAACCTTCATAAAAGTAAAGTGTACGATTTTGCGTGGTGGGAATTTCTCCTAGTACGGTAATACAAAAGACGTTTCGAACTATTAAAGAACAACTAGCATTACACTCCTTTGGTAATTAAAAATTTTGCTTGCTTGCAATAAATATTTTGAGGGTGAAATTAGAACCCGCCATTTACTTACACTGCACCTATCATACTCTCATAAACAAATTTTGGTGGGTGATATGAGTAAGAACTGATTGAAATAGAATAGCTGATTGTTTCTATAGATTTAAAGCACAAAATAAAACATTTCATTAAATTAAGGGTATAGTTCTACAAAAGAAAAGATAGAAAATTGAATTCGTGCGCGATATGATGGTAGGGCAGGATAGGAAATGTAGGAAGATATTTCTATTTGCGGTATAAATTTTTTTGCCTCCGTAAAACCATTGAACAAAAATACAAATTGCTACCCCGAAATGTGGTGAATATTTCCCAGAATGTGTATTGAATTCGGATATTCCAACACGTATTCGTTCGGAGAAATTCTCGTCTCGGTTACTTTTCATGTGGCGTGGTAATCGGATTACCTATATATCTCCTCGAGGTGAAATCTGGATTTGGATTCAATGAAAGCGGAATGAAAGTTATTAACATTGTTCATTCACGATTGCTTTATCGAAGGCGTGACCGGTTTGCAAATTGTTAATTTGATAAATCTGAACCCTCGGGGTATTATTGATTGATCTCCTGTTGGCACGTAACTGCGTTCTTCGTAACTACACAACAAAACAAAGCGACGTAAAACCTACTTCAAAAATAGATTACAGTCTGGTACCTAGACACATTATATTGCGCCATTTGAATATTCTGTTTTTTGAAGAGACTAAGAGACTACGTTGTGATTGATGAAAAACGGTAGTCAGTCTATAGCTAAACATAAATACCATACGTAACCATAATATGCAAGAAGGGCCCCTAACGAGAGATTTTCTAAATTACTATATTTTACAGCAACGATAAACCTAAAGCGATAGTTGATTCACCTTTGATTAGGTTTTTGTACAAAAATCTTACCTCCCAGACATATGATTGGTAGCCTGGGAGTCTGTGGAAATTAAAGAAGGAAGCTAAGGTATAATAGTTGCGCAACATTAACACGGAAATCGAACTGCAATTGATCAAAAAGTAAGCTAAAATGAAAAGCGCTCGATTACTATTCTAATAACCAAAGAACAAAGAATCAAAATTATAATGAGCCACTACCCTTCTGATTATTCAGTAGATAACAGACTTCGAGGAATGTGAATATTTCATAAGAATGGTAATCAATATTTTCAGGGAAACATGACCAAACACAGACACATAAAAAGTATTGTTTGAAAGATGTCGTTTTTTTGGATGATATTTCCTTAAATTTGTTCTTTGCATTCCTTATATTCACAAAGAAAAATTGCAAATTTCCTGACAATATAACTTTTTATACACAGCCTCTGTCTCCATATGGACACTTAGAAAAACGTATGCATACACAAACTATAATCCTGAGGCATTTCTGGGGCTAGTTGAGATAAGTAAACATTTGTAAAGGCTCGATAGAGAAGAAGATACATGTAAATGGTGGGGTCTTGCTATTACATTTTTCGAACCATTCGCTTTATAGCTTTGCGAAATTGCAAGGGCCATAAAGAGACGAGTGTCTACGTTCTTGCGCTTTATCGTTATGCCTTGTGATTTGTAGGTCACTTTTAAAGGTTTGGACTACATTTTCGCCTGCTTGTCTGCCATTTAGAGCGCAAGAGGGACCGAGAAAATAAATTTGCCCACAATAAGATTTTATCAAAGTGAAATCAGTTTTGCTCAAATAAATACGAAATTCGTCAGTTATTCAGAACTTGGCGAGCGTCGGAAATATTAGAACCAAAAAATAGGTTTTCTCATTTCAATGAGTTTAGGAAAATTAATCAAAGTAAAACGTTTACCTTTTTGATTTACCCAAAAGAAATTATATCCACGTGAAAGTTATAACGCCATGTAGGCCAAAGTGTGTTTATACGGTGTTTTACAGTTCAGCGAATTTAACATCACACAGATCAAAAGGCAAAGTAATTAAAATGTTCACGTCCACGTTTGAGAATTGACATGATCGAAAAACGAGACGAAATGATCTTTTGAGGCACTATTTATACGGTTACTGAGCGGATCTTTATCATTGCTTTCATATACATGGACGCATTGGAACCCTTGTAACCGTTGAAATAACCACAACTGAAACAGAAATATCAAAAGAACCACAATAAAACGAAGGCGAAGGCAAAAAGGAGAGAGACTGGCCGCAACCGTGATAATTTTATGAAGGGCGTATAAGATGACAAATATTCAATGTTTGTGTGGGAAAACGGCTTCCAACCATAGCAGATTTTCCACAAGTCTGCATGAATGTTACCATCGGACTACGCGATTTTAATTGCAGTGAACACAATAGCTGCAAAATATCTGTAGGCCACTAAAAAATATAGAGAAAGGGGTTGAAATGTATTTTTAGCGCATTTTTTAAGAAATAAAAACAAGTATAAATTGTACACAACTCTTGTGCAGATAAAGCGCAATTCTTTAAACCGAAATAGCTTAGTAAAAGGGCTAAAAGCTTATAAGTTATAACCCTCTATCGATGTTTACTTTCTTGGTAGGTAATTAATGGGGTAGGACTCCTACCGTAGGAGGCCCTTTACACATAAACATCTAAAGGCCGCCTGGCTGGCATACATTCAAAATCCTTCTCAACCCATTCTGCAGATATTTGCACAAAGCTTTGACATCACCAATAGGCATGTCTCGTCCTAACGTTCCACGTACTCTCTTCCGACATTTCGTAGCCAAGGTATCTGCTTCGACTAATAGACCAATAGATATGTCTTGTCTATTCGATTCATTTTGCTTTTGGGAGTACTTTCCTCCGACAAACACTTTCTCATTGCCACTTATTGAGTTCTACAAGACACCGTTGATTTTCAATACATCGTTTCGTTTTGTCTCCATCATCACCTTAATTTTGTTATATGTGCCGTAAAAAAAGTACATACTGTGTTGAGTGGCATGTTTTATTACAAATACAATGATATACGCTCGGATATACGATATAAAAAAAATCAAAAGTTGGTAACTCTGTTGGTTCCAACAGGATGTTGCATCCGCGCACAACATCCAAATCTTGTGGGAATAC